GCGCTGCATGGTGATACCAATGTTTGGGATGAGTGTATATCTTTGTAACTTTTTTTTTTTCCCCCCCTACAAAGGCAAAACCCAAAAGATGTGCATACTCTGGCACAACTCATCTCTGCCTACTCCCTGGTGGACCCTGAAAAAGCTAAAGTGTATCCTTTTGGTGGTAGTATCAGAGCAAAGAAAGAGGCATTTGAGCATTGCTCCCTTGAATTTCGGCTGCATGGGGGATTCAGGCCCACTCTCACCTTAAGAAAGGCAAGGAACATCTCCAGAGCAGCTACATATCCAGGTCAAGTTGTCTGGAACTACATTATTTCCCTAATTGGTTTGATTACTGTGGGATCCCAGGACCCTTTTGTCTTTGGCCTCTTTCTCTCTGAGAATTGATAACTTAAGACTAGGTGGAACCAAAAATAGGAGTTCTTCCATCTTTTCTGTTGGAATCTTAAACCTGTGGTAGTAATGCAGGACTGCACCCGATAACATATGTCTAAGCTCTCACTGACCCAAAATACCAGGCTTACATACTGCTTTTGCCACCCTGAGCAGCTTTCAGAGGAAGTTGCTGCTTCTGTCCCCATATGTAGGAAGGGAAAAATGAGGCAGATGGTGATTAAGCAGTTCATCCCAGCTTGTGTAGGAAGCTGGAGAGAGAGCTGGAACTAGCCCCATAGGCCTGTTTGGTGTCTGTATTGCTAAGAGGCCGAGTTTGTTCAACCTGAAGTTGCCCGTTGCTATCTGGACAAACCTGGATGTTTAGCTTTTTGCTTGCTGGTTTGCATCCCTGAACTCTTCTCTTGCAGTCTTAGCAAACACTTGCCTTCCTCAGACACCATGTCACTGAAAGTAGATGTTGATGCGCTGGAGAACTCCCATGGAGCAACCTATGTTCGGAAGAAAGCTGGGAAGCTCACTGGAGACAACCAGCAGAAGGAGCAAGGGTAAAGTGGGCTGCTGTAGCTTTGGTGCAGTCATTCTTTGGAGTGGCACAAGAACCACACCCGGTGTGGTGGGGGCATTGCTATAGAAGGCAGGCTGGTGGAAAGGCAGCTTGTTTAACTGTAGGGAGCTTCAGGTAACAGCAGACCAAGTTTTGAGAGAGATGGGAATGGTTTAGCTTCTTCCAGAGCTAGTTTTCAGTTGACCTGTTTGCTGTGTCTGTGCTGTGTGACAGCAGCCGTTTCCCTCCTTGCTTTTCAGACAAGGGGATGTGAAGAAGAAGAAGAAAAAAAAGAAGGGTAAGTTGCGTTTCCTAGCTGTTGGCATAGCACAGCTCCAGAGAGCTTGCCAAATTGTTTCTTCAAATAGTCAGCTTTCAGCTCCCTGGGAGCTGGAGCCCTTTGCTGGGACTGGGTCCCTGTGAACCTACATCTTCGTGATAGCTTGTTTGGACGGGGCATTCTTCCATAGAAGTGGGAGCAGCGCCCTGATAGGATGATGTGGGTTGCTGGGGTCTTTGCGCTTCCTGGCTACCGACATCCCATGCATATCCCTTGGTAATGCCTCTGTAGTGTGTTGACCCTAGTCTCATTTCCTGGCACTGGATGTTCTGCAGGAAAGCTGCCTAAGAACTATGACCCCAAGGTGACTCCTGACCCTGAGCGGTGGCTTCCAATGCGAGAGCGTTCCTACTATCGTGGACGGAAGAAGGGCAAGAAGAAGGATCAGGTTGGCAAGGGGACTCAGGGTTCAACCACAGCTGGCTCCTCTGAACTGTAAGTACCCATTTTGCAGGGCTTGGTGTGGGTAATCACTCCTGGGTGGCTGGGAGGGCTGGGTTTGTGCTGCTTTTCTGCAGCTTTGTCACCATGCTGGCTGTGGGTAGCACAAGTGAAACGGTACTTTGCCAATTGAGCCTTCTCCCAGATCCCTATAGGTTGCTGAAATCCAAAATGATATGATAGGCATGCTTGAAGGGTGTCGAGGTGCAAGTAAAATTCCCATAGTCTTTTAATGTGCTTTTCTTAGCTTTGATGATGACATGAATTAAAGTCTTTTGGTGGCTGGAGAACCATTAGCCATGATTTTGGGAAAACACTACACATCCCTCGAAGTTGACACTGATTAGTTGAGCTGGAGTCAGGGTTTACCATTGTGTGTGAGGCCTGACAGCAAGACGGTGACTTACGAGCATCTGAGAGAAGGAAATACTTCTAAAATAATAGCAATGCAGGGAATTGCCAGTGCTGTCTGGTAGTTTCTCTTTATGCAGCTGTCTCAAAACAGAAGCATGACAAGCCATTTGTTGGTACCATTGGCTTGAGCGGTGTTTGCAAGGAGAGCTGGCACAAAGATGCCTTTGTGGTTAAGGAGAGAGAAAGGATGTTGGGTTTGCACTGCCTAAGTGTGAGGGCCTGAAAGGCTGCTTATGTCTTGCATGAGCTGTCTGTCACATATCTCTTCAAAAGTTAGCCTTGCTTTTGTTGTTGAGGACTTAGGCTATCTAGTGAACGTCGGTTAGAAGGTGATTGCCTGCCCTTTGAGACATGTTCCCATCATCCGTCAGCCCTTCTGTATGTGTGGAAGCTTACTTAAGATCTTGTACGAGTGCCCTCCTATAGTTAATGCTACCTGATGCTATCTTATGGGGCCAGTCACTATTTTTCGCTGTCAGCTTCCTGCAGTAGTGCCGCATCTTGCAGGTGGTTGTGAACCCACGTGGTATCTCTTTCTCTCGTCTTCCTGCAGGGATGCCAGTAGGACTGCCAGCAGCCCACCTACCTCCCCTCGGCCCGGCAGCGCTGCAGCCGTATCGGCCGCAAGTAACGTCATCCCTCCCAGGCACCAAAAACCCGCTGGTGCCCCGGCCACCAAGAAGAAACAGCAGCAGAAGAAGAAGAAAGGGGCTAAAGGAGGGTGGTAAAAAGCAGGATGTGTAACCTCCCTCCCTCAGTAGGTGATGCTGGTTCCAGAATAAAGGTCAAAAGCAAGCGCTGGCAAAAGACTCTTGGCATCCGGATGTCTGTCCTGCCTGTCAGTGGTCTGGGGGGCGATGGGCTGGTATAGGCACCGTGATGCTCACCAGGATGCTTTCCTCACACTTGCCCCCGCTGTGACTTAGGGTGTCACCATCAAACTCAAACGCAGCCCCTAAGAAGAAATCTGTCTACGTTGCCAAACATTGAAAAGGTGTGGAAGAAGCAAAACCTTCTTGAAATGTAGATTTATGCTTCTCCTGCATATGTTAGTTAAGGCCTTTAACAGATTTATCTGACATCATCTCTGACTATGTGTGATGCAAGCGCTGTCTTCTGTGTCTCATCCCAATCAGTCACTGACCACCACACAGCACAGGCACGAAGGGTCTTGGCAAACAACATATGGGCTAGATGATACAGGGGAAGATGATCTGAAGGGGGAGAACAAGGCTGTTAGGAGAAAGCATGGTGAAGTGTGAGGCAGCTGACTTGGTGTCCCCTTTTCTGCAAGCCAGCTGCCTTATTTTAGTGGGCTTGGCAAAACAAGAGCGAGCTAAAACTAAGTGGCTGGTTGTGGCGGTGGGCTGCACTGAGGAGGCATTGCACTTCTCAAGTGGAAGCTGGCGGTGAGATGGAAGATGCACCTGCTCTCCCAGCACCGCATGAGTAGCCCCCAACTGTCTCTTGAAACTTCTGATTTGGTCTGTATGTATCAAGAATGTTTTTCCATGCATGGAAATAGCACCTCAGAGTTGTCAGTTGTTAGCCCAAAAGGCGCAAAGGCTTTTGTCTCTGAATTTAAAGCAAGGGCCTGAAGAGGTGGGGAGCAAGGGAAATGTTAATGTGGCTTAAATCCCCCCTGAGTCCCCATGGAGTAAAAATCTAAGTAGAATCCTGTCTTTATTACCTTGATTACACCGGAAGCATCTGGCAGGGGCTGAAGACGTGATACGCAGTGAGTGAGAAGGAATAACAGCGCAGAGAAGGCAGCTTTATGAAGGGCTGGCAGAGTCGCTTGCTGCCAAGTGAGCGCTGAAGAGCAAGGATTGCTCTAAATGACTTGCCTGGGTGATGTGCCTGCTCTTGCAGCCAGCAGCTGCTGGCTAGAGGAGTGAGCGTGCTGTCCTGCAGCCATGCAGCCTCCGGAGGGTGATGGGGAGAGAGGAGGTGCTGGAGGGAAACGCAGCTCTCTTCTCCAGGCATCTCCTCTGGTCAAACCTGTCTGAAACGCAGATGGAAGCGCTGACTTGCGGCGCTGCTGGAGCCCTGGCCGGGCTGCCCGGACGGTGCCGTGGCCGCTTCCCCGGAGGTGGGTGCCCGGGTAGGAGCGAGCTGGGAGCGAGTCCCGTTGCGGGGGGCAGAGGGCAGCAGCA